TAAGATTGCGCTATAGAATACTTGTAAACACCTTCCAGGGTCTTATGTGCTGTATTTGGACTCTGTGTTGTGACTATGGTAAAAACGCTGCTGATACCCCAAAGTGCAATCAGAGCAGTAAGATATGGCCAAATGAGGCTGGCATTTATCACCCTTTCCAGTTCAACACTTGAAAGCAGTTTTCCCTCATTTACATTGCTTCGGGTCCCACGTCATGCCACAGTAATGTAATTCTGTTTGCAGTTGCAGGAATAGATTGGTTTTGAGCTGACAAGTTTTAGTCCCTCATGCTATACTCTGTTTTGACGGTAAGATTGCTCAAATAGTTTTGTGCACAAAAGAATATACCCTTTGTCTAGAGTAGGTGAGCAATAGTCTCGTCTCTTAAAGAACGTCTGGTTAATTGGACATGGGTAGCATGCACAAGGTGTGGTGGAGCGATAAGACAGGAGCTTGCAGCATAGAAGGTGAAGGACTTTGCTGTGTGTTCAGCAGTGATAATGTGGTGCATGATAATTTCATTTCTCTTTTCTAAATGTGGGTAGTGTTCTTCAGTAAAACTTGGGGCAGTTTCCCCGCTACCCCCCTCTTCACCGTTCCCATGCCTCTGCAGCGTCTCTCTGTGTAATGTAAATATACTTGAAGTAGAATAAATACAGCAGCCATGAGCGTGTCATTTGTGAAAGGCTGGTTAGAGATAAACTAGGGTAATCTTGCTGAAATGTATTTGTGCTTAAAACACACATTTGTTTTGCTGGCTATCTAGCTAAACCTTGGAAACCCTGATTCAAAGTTTAATCTGCCAAAAACACACAGGAGTTTTTCATAGGCTGAATCTGTCACTGACAGCTGGCATTGCTATCAAGGATGTGTCGCTTAAGGCTTTGGAGTCTTTGAACCAAATGTTGGACTAGAGTGTCATATTTTCCCCCCATAGAGTGCTCTGGTAAAGGTTTTCCTTTAAAGCCCTAGCAGTGCCCAACACAGAGAAAAAGTGCCCTATTCCATTAGTTTTCCGTGTTCCCAGTTTGCAGCAAAATCTATGTCTGCCTGCCTGCACCCTACACAGTTAACTGATTTGTATTTAATAATAATAAAAAAGCTGGTGATGGAATCGTTCTTTTTGCATTGTAACAGGCAAGACATGGGCAATATAGGACTGGCTGGGGAAAATGGCACATCTGTTCTATAGCACTGTGTATTATGATTTTTCTTTTAAAGCTACTACTGAGGCACACCCCTGGTTGTGGGCTTTGGGATGTACATCATAAGAAGCTCAGCTTTATGTTTTCCCTGCTGCTCCGCAAATAATTCTTCTGGGGGAGTTATTTTGCCCTTCTCCTCCCCCAGCAGCTGGCTCTTGATCACTCTTTTAGGCCACAACTTTGTGATATCATTTCTTATTTACACATCTAGAAACAGAGATCTTTTCAAACGCAATATTGGAAAAAAATGAAATGAATTACAGATCTAAAAGACAAATGTATCTTTGAAGACTCCCATCAAACATTCACATAAACTAATTTTGTAGACAGTTCTGTTTGGTATAAAGGGATGGTGAGCTGTGAAAAGTGCCCACCTACTGCTGAAAGGGTAAATTGAACTACTTACTCCTTGAACAAAACATCAAATTAAATGATTGATCGTTGAAGATGATAAAGAAAAACAGCAAAATCTTTGGTACTGCAGAAAAGTTCTTATTTTCTTCTTACTGATGCTGTATCATTGAATAGTCAAACACACACCGCTAAATTGCCTAATTTTTAATCCAGGTCTTTCTGGCCATCCTACTGTTGGCTACAAATGACAAATCTTCTTTATATAGTTCTATACCCTAGAAGTATAGAGCAGGCATACCCAACATTGGGATTTTTGATGGATTTATGCTATAAGCCAACTGAAACATCATAAATTCTTCACTGGGATTATTAACATTTCTAGGTATTATATTTCAAATTCATTTATAGGGCTAACATTGGGCTACCTAGTATATATCTAGTTTATAAAAGGAAATTCAGACTCTTCTGTGTTAGGAAGAATAATGCAAACTGATATTATCCCCTGTACAGACAGGCACATGGCTAGTATTTTTAATCAGTAAAACTCATATTAACTTTACTTTTTAAAATGTTGATTTTAACTACTAGACTCTGAGAGCCTTTTCTGGTGCTAGTTAAAAAAAAAAGAGAACACATTTAATTCTTGCACTCAGATTGTAATGTGTTGGGTCTGAGTTCGCCATATTCCTAAATCTTGCTTGCTGGTAGTTTTAAAGTGTGTAATGGTTTTAGATAGGATAAATGTCTCCAAATGTACTCCCAGTATCACAGTGCGGTGCTCCACAACCCAACTGCATAGTGCAAACACATGTTGAGTACTCTTTAATACTGTCAGTAGTCATCTAGAACACTGGTTCTTAACCTTGGGTTACTCAGGAGTTTTGGACTGCAACTCCCAGAAGCTTTCACCACCAGCTGTCCTGACTGGGGTTTCTGGGAGTTGCAGTTCAAAAGCATCCGAGTAACAAAGGTTAAGAACCACTGATCTAGAAGAGAGATTGTTGCAAGGATCCCAACTTGCTAATATCATACCATCATCTTAGAATTGCAGAGCTGGAACGGACCTGTGGATCATTGAGTTCAGTTCCTGTTAAGGAGGCCTCATGGGGATTTCAATTCCCAGTCGAACTCTGCAGCCAGATACACAAGCCGCTTAAGTATCTAGCAGTTCATGAATATATAAACTGTATTACTATCTCCTTTACGCAGAGCCAGAAGCAGAATCTGAGATGACAATGCTTCAGTGAAGCACAGCCAGTCAAAATATTTGGAAACACTTCAAAGCCCTTTCAAATTCTGCATTGTTATTCATCCAAATAGTCCAATTTACAATTGGTTTGTGACTGTTTCCAAGAATTCAGGGTATACAGTAAGTCTCATATTTGACAATAAAACATAAACATGGTACATTCTGTATGTAAAGTTTATGTCACCACATAAGTTCTCTTTTTCTTCAGCTTATTTTTAAGACTTTACTGTATTTTGAATGGTTGATTGCTCTGGTGGAATTGTTCTGAAAGCATGTCTGTAGCCTTGAGCACCAAGCAACAATAGCACACTTTGCCATACTAGGTTGGTTTAGTTTAATTAGAGTGGAAACATAAACATGGTACATTCTGTATGTAAGGTTTATGTCACCACATAGGTTCTCTTTTTCTTCAGCTTATTTTTAAGACTTTACTGTATTTTGAATGGTTGATTGCTCTGGTGGAATTGTTCTGAAAGCATGTCTGTAGCCTTGAGCACCAAGCAACAATAGCAGTTTGCCATACTGTACTAGGTTGGTTTAGTTTAATTAGAGTGGTCTGATTTTCTGTAACTAAAGGCATGCTCCAGGATCCACTGGAAAACTGACATCCTGCAGAGTCTGAAAAGAGTTTCTAGTAGCTACAAACATAGACTTGTGTGTCAGTCTTTTTACATGCACTGGAGACATTTCTAGGCATTCGTAAACCTCTCAAGTGTTGCAAAGTCAAGGCTAGTCACGGTGATCCAGAAATTTACATTCCAGATCAGAGTATGGAAAGTTATTTTTAAAAAGCAATATGTAATGAGTAAGAAAGCCACAAAAGTAGTTTGCAACAAAACCAACAAAGAGTTTTGAAAAACGTAACAGGTTTTGTTTGGCATAAGTTTCCATGTACTGTATGCTTCTTCACATGAATGAAGCATAGTATCAGTAGGCAGACATTCATATACAGACAGAGAGAAAGAAATGTGAAATGTAATACAAATGCAAAAGATGGTCTTGGACAGTGGCCACCAAGGGTCATTTAACATTCCTTGGGAGATAAGAGGTACAGATCTTAATGGTAGTTGTACAAAGTCTTTCAGTGGAGGGTGGCAAAGGTTTCAAAACCCAAATAAGAAGATTAATCCATGTATGATAGAAATAGGTCTTTGTCTAAGGCAGAAATAGGCCCTTTGGAAGAGAAAGATGGCTCTATTTTCTGAGAAGGGATGACTTTACACCATTAAAATGCCTTTTTATGCAAACGGGGCCGTGTGTGTGTGCTTCTTGGCTATTATAAAAGGGGATTGCGACTCAAAAAAGGTTGGGTACCACTGGTCTAAGCCAACTGTTATCTGGAGAGGTTGGCCTGTAGAAACACAAAATAGGTACAAAATTCTAGTCAGAGAGGGTGAAGAAAATAGGAATGCATAAAATTTGAAGTGGAGAAAATTATTTGAACTGTTTTTTCTCAGCTTGTAGACTTGTTTACATAGTAGTAGCAGTAGTAGCAGCAGCAGTAGTAGTGGATACCGCACTTTAAGAAGGATGGCAGCAAACTGGAACAATTTCAGAGGAGGGCAATAAGGATGATCACGGGACTGGAAACAAAGCCCTGTGAGGAAAGACTGGAAGAACTGGGTATGTTTAGCCTTGAGAAAAGAAGACTGAGGGGAGATATGACAGCACTTTTCAAATATTTGAGAAGTAGTCATACAGAGGAGGGACAGGATCTGTTCTCAATCATCCCAGAGTGCAGGACATGTAATAATGGGATGAAGCTACAAGAAATCAGATTTAGACTGAATATCAGGAAAAACTTCCTAATTGTTATACAAGTACAACAATGGAACAAATTACCTTGGGAGGTGTGAGTTCTCCAGTACTGGAGGCATTTTAGATAAAATTAGACAAACAACTGTCAGATTGTCTTTGAATTGGGTTGGACCCGATTGGACTTGATTGACATAACTTAATTATTCTATGTTTCTATGAATAATAATGCTTTTCCAAGCTCTGTGGTGGATCATGTACAGTAAGAAATAAGATTAATCAAGATCATACCCCCATTAATATTTAACATGTTGTGGTCCTGGGAAGTACTGACATCTAATTGTGTAATTTTCTACTTATAGCTTTATGAGGAGAGATTAATTATTGGGATGTCAGCTGTTTCATGCTCCACTTCACCTGTCCCCTTGTTTTTCTAGGTCCATGGGGAAGGTGCATGGGAGATGAATGTGGCCCAGGAGGCACCCAGACCCGAGCCATCTGGTGCGCCCACGTGGAAGGATGGACCACGCTGCTTACAAACTGCAAGCAGACGGAGAGGCCGGACAACCAACAGAACTGTTTCAGGGTTTGTGATTGGCACAAGGAATTGTATGACTGGCAGTTGGGCCAGTGGAACCAGTGCCAGCCCGTTCTTTCAAGGAATGTTGAAAAGCCCGCGGAGTGCGTCAAGGGGGAAGAGGGGATTCAAAGGAGGGATGTGACTTGTGTCCAAAAAGCAAATGGCGTCATAGCCGAGGATGCCATATGCGAGTACTTTGAGCCAAAACCTCAACTAGAACAGGGATGCCTCATTCCTTGCCGACAGGACTGCATTGTCTCTGAGTTCTCGGCCTGGTCGGAGTGTTCCAAGAGCTGTGGCAAAGGGCTGGCCTATCGCTTTCGCCAAATTGTTGCTCCACCCCGGTATGGGGGCTCGGCCTGTCCTAACCTGACTGATTTTCAGGTTTGCAACTTGCCCTTGTGCTCGACTGAAGAAAGCCTGTACAGCCTGAATGTGGGGCCATGGAGTAGCTGTTCGGTGCCCCACACACGGCACATAAGGCAGGCGAGGAAACGCGGGAAGAACAAAGAAAAGGAAAAAGAGAAGGGCAAAGACAAGGAGAAAGCAATCAGGGATCCAGAGGCCCGGGAGCTCATTAAGAAGAAGAGGAATCGTAACAGACAGAACAGGCAGGAGAACAAATATTGGGACATACAAATTGGATACCAGACAAGGCAGGTGATGTGCACTCACAGGAACGGAAAGACTGTTGCCTTGAGGTAATGCTGTTTTTCTCAACATAATGATCTTTCTTTTTATAAGCAGTTAGGCCTGAAGCAAAAGCAAGCCTTTCTCCCCAGCAATATAATGCATTTTTCTGGAGTCCCTGCTTGACACTTACCTCATCAAAATTGTCTCTGTCAGACATATGATACCTGGACCTGGCTAGACTAAGTAGGTTTTTCTTTCCCGTGACAAACAAGTTGCACCATACAGATCTTGTTTGTGTAAATAAAGTAGAAACCAAGATGCTGTTCACTAAAAAGCATGTTTTCTTGAAGGATTTGGGCACATAAATTTCTTTCACACCAAACAAATTATGTTGGAGAACTGATTCTGATTCAGAATCCCCTCCCTTCTGGAAGTGAACTATCCTACTTTATAATGCAGGGAGAAAGGTTCATTGTTTGGGTATAGATAGAAACCAAATGTGGAATAAACGCCCTAGTTGTGGTGATAGTATTATGGATTGTTGACTGACAACATTATATTATTTCTTTTCTAAAAGGCTCCCAATTGAGTGCAGCTATTATCTTCGCTCTGATTTGACTTAATGATGATGTGACATTATGTAATATAATGAAGCTGAACTTGGAGTGGAGACAATGTCTCCTGCCCTAACTCAGGAGTAACCAGTAGCTAGAACGGTGATGAACACTGTCACCGTGCCATGCTAACGATGAAACTGGTAGTGGCCATGGTAAACAGGTTAGGTGGAGTCAAGGCTTTTCTAAAATGTTTGCACATGCACACCACCCAAACCTCTTCTTTTGAGTGACATGCTCTGCAAAGAAGACGACTAAAACAAGTGGAATGTAAATTTTCAATGACTGTCTTAAATCCTGTAGCTTTCAGTAGGTCTACTGAAGTGTGAGTACATTTGGATCCAACTCTTTGTTTATCACACTGTTTAAACTTACAGATTACTTCTTTGCCTATTCAGTAGTAGTGGAATATCAGGTACTATTCTCATTTTCTGTGTGAAGATACAGAGTCACTTTTATCTAATAGTATCTGAATGTTCAGTCGTCTCCAATTTTTTTCAGTGGAAGCAGAAGATTCAAAGCTTTCCGCCTCTTAAGCTTTTTGGTGATAGCTTTGTAATGCTGCTGAAAAACCCTGTGCAGAATTGCGTTGTATCCACTTGAGTATGTTCATGCTTGTATGTCTTACCCCTCAGTTGAACTAAATGGATAAATACTGATAAGTGGAGAAACTTTGTAGGAACTCATGGGATCAAGAAAAGAGAGCCCAAGAGGAGATAAACATTTAACCTGGGCCCCTTTATATAGCATATTAGTGCATCTTCTGTTTGTAAAACCATATATTTTCCCAAGACGTTAGGCATGTCAGTCTATTTCAATGTGTATAATAACTAGTGATTCTTCTGGTATTGTTATCTTGCCCTCTCCTCCCTCTGCGTCCGCCCACCCCTATAGTATAGTAGAAAAAGTGAGCTGCTCTAAGAATTTTTGGACACGGTTGTGAAAAAAAAAACACAGCACAGTAGTTCCAGATTTCGCAATTTGATTTCCTTATGGCTTGTTTGATTATACACACAATTAACTTTTATGTTTAATATCGAGCTTTGTTTGCTCTACTAATTTGTATAAAGCAATTATAATGAAATATTTTTAAATGATGGGTGTGAGGAACCTTCCATTACGCGTATGCTGCATTCCTGTCAGCTTATAAACTCCATTATCTGAGAAAGATATTTTGCATGCTGGGTTGGAGTAGACCTTCAGATTAATCACTCATGAATCTGATTTAAGGATTTATGTATTTCTCTCTCTCCTTCCTATAATACTTAACCAATCTTCTTAAACACAGTTATTTGGAAGTAACATGCAGTGTTCAGTTGAACGTCTATTTAAGAAAGCTTAGAGTTACAGTCTTAAATTCTATTATATATTTCTCTGCTCAGCATGTCAAAAAATTGGATTCTTGTGCTTTGTTAAATTTGTTATTTGTTTATTTGATTAAACTGCAGCCAGGGTCACTGGAAAGCATTTTAGAGTGGTTGTTCTGTCACTTTTTGAGTTTAAATACATAACAGTGATTTTGCTGTTTGGAAACTGCAGCCAGGATCACTGGAAAGCATTTTTAGAGTGGTCGTTCTGTCACTTTTTGAGTTGTAAATACATAACAGTGATTTTGCTGTTTGGTTATAACAACCCATTATTCCCTAGAGTTCTAAACAATGCTTAACAACAATGTACAATATGAATGATGGCAACGAGTCAAAATGGATTACTCATGGTGCTCTCTAAGTGCTGAGACACATGTCACCAGAGAAATACAAATGGCCTTTCACCAGAAGTCCCTTAATAAAAGACACATAGCATAGGGCTAAGCCAGGGGTGAGGAATATGTAGCCATATCGCTATTGAACTGGAACTGGAACTACTATACACCTTCAGCGTTGGCTACACTGATTCATACTGATGGGAAGTGCAATCTAATATCCATACCCCTGATCACATTCCCTTTAGGACAGGATGTAGATGCTTTAAAGAGTTATGCAACAGTATAGAAGAGAGGATTCCAAGAGGTGTAGCATGCCATGTAAGCGATGTATGCCTGCTGAAATCTCCTCTAACACACAGCTCTTAAAAGTATGGAAGCTCTGTCCTCCTTTTCATGGGACTAATTGCAAAAATATGAATGCCATCTAAATGGGGCTAAGGTTAAATAAAATTATCGTAGAATTATCAGTGCACCTCTATTCATGGTTATTTGTTATTAGGTAATTTAGTTACATCCTGGCTGGATTACTATCACACACTCTATATAGGGCAGCCTTTGGAAAGTGTTTGGAAACCTCAATGGGTCCAAAACACGGCAGCCAGATTGTTAACTGGAGTTGGTTACTGGGATCACATAACCCCACCCCATTACAGCAGCTCCATTGGTTTCCAATTCATTTCTTGACACAATTCAAAGTGCTTGATTTTCAATTCATTTCTTGACACAATTCAAAGTGCTGGTTTTAATCTATAAACCACGAAACGGCTTCGGTCCAAGCTATCTCAAAGATCATATCTCCCATTATGAGCCTGCCCAGGTGTTAAGATAATCAGGGGAGGCCTTTCTCTTGATCCCTTTATGTTTTGTTGCTTCTAAATCTGGGTTAGTATTTTATATTGATTTGGTTTTACTGGTCTTTGACCGTAATCGAGTGTTCATTCATTCATTCATTCATTCATTCATTCATTCATTCATTCATTCATTCATTCATTCATTCAATCTGGGTTAGTAATGCTTTTATCTAACATTTTAATATATTAATTATTCTGTACATTGAATAATTTCTTTTTAGTATTTAATATTGTGTTTTTAATTATGTAGGCCACCTGGGGTCCTCTTTTAGGAGAAAAGCAAAGTAAAAATATGTTAAATGAACTAACTAACTAATTAAATAACAATGGTAGGGTTTGGTCTGCATTGTATTGCTGGATTATGTATGTTCCTGAACTCTCTGGCTGTTGGCCCTAAATAAGGTTCTTATTTTTTAAAGTTAGTATCAAAATACTGTTCATTCGTGGGTAAAAACCTGTCCTTCTTAATGCTACTCAGTGGGACACGTTTTGAAAGCTGATAGAAAGTGGAATCATGTTCCTTAATACTCTGCTTATGTGGTAGGCTAACCCTCCAAAAAAAACATTTAAAAGAGAAATATTGTCAACAATAAGGGTTGAAACTACAATGAATAGTTCCCCAGACAGCTGTGAAATATAAAACCCCAAGGTCTCTGTAATGTGTTACCCCCTGTCTGTTTCATGAACAGTTAATGTTCAATAGTTGAACTTTGGCAGTATTAGGATATAAGGCATTCTTATTTGTTTAATCCAGCACTATTGTGCTCTTAGTATATATGAGAGTTGAGTTGAATCTCCCCACCCCAATTTAAAGCTGGAAATAACAACTCAGCATTCAATTGTTTTTATTTCTGACATGTACCCGCAGATTCTGTTGGCAGCATTCCCCCTGCTGAATTTAGTTACGTTATTCATTCCAGAACAATGGGAGAATCGGTATGTAATCAAAAGGGAAATCAAGTAAGGGAAAATAAATGTTAACAGCTCCATTGCTCTGGGAATAAAACCAGGGAGTAATGGGGGAAATGCTAAAAAAGTAAAATAATGGCAGGGAAGTCATGCATAAAAAGCCAATGCACAAGCCGGAGAAAATAAAAAAAGTTTCCAGCAGGGGAGTAATATGAGAAGTTGAGGTTTACCTTAGTGCTACCCCAGCATTGTGGGAACTACTGAAATGCCTCTCTGTCTGTGTAAGATATACAGCAGTCTGCATATTGGTAGCAACAGTAGTTTAATAGAGCTAGAACATGCAAGGCTGAAGTATTAGGGCATTTAGATGAGTAAGGGTGATGTTATCATCTGTTTCTCCATGTAGGGTTTTCTTTTCCTGTGGTGGCGCTGCGGGTTAAACTGTAGAAGCCTCTGTGCTGCAAGGTCAGAAGACCTGCAGTCGTAAGATTGAATCCACATGATGGAGTAAGCTCCCGTCGCTTGTCCCAGCTCCTGCCAACCTAGCAGTTCGAAAGCATGTAAATGTGAGTAGATAAATAGGTACCACCTCAGTGGGAAGGTCACGGCATTCCGTGTCTAGTTGCGCAGGACACGTGACCACAGACGATTTTCTTCAGACAAACGCTAGCTCTATGGGTTGGAAACGGAGATGAGCACTGCCCCCTAGAGTCGGACACAACTGGACAAATTGTCAAGGGGAACCTTTACCTTTAGCTTATCTCCCTTGTAATACAAACTATTTTGAGTGGCTTTGATGTGTGTTTAAGACCCAGTCGCTGTCCAAAAGACCTAGGAAGCTGGCTGGATAGGTATCTGGCTGGGAGTTTGATTCCCCACTATGACTCCTAGGAGAGTTTTTCCCCTTACTTAAAATTGTTTTAATTATATTGTAATTATGCTTGCTGTAAGCCGCCTAGAGTGGCCTTAAGTGGCTAGATAGGCAAACA